ATGTGTGTGTGTGTTTGTCATACAATAAGACTTATCCACATATTAATCTGATATTTTAAATTTAAGTATGTAATTACGTTCGTTCAACCAAACATGACAATGAAAATTATTAAGCAACTACATAGTAATAAGCAAATAAGTCATTATAATTACTATATTGTGTAATTACTACCCTAGTAATTACACTAGAAGATAATTACATATGACTTTTCAAACACACTATAATAAAGTTTTTCTCACACACACACGAATATATTTCATTCGAACACGATTCAGTTGAACCCATTAAAAATAATTACTGCAAAACATAATTTTTCCCAATATGAAATTTATTTTTAAAAACGTAAAAAGGCCGACCAACATTTCGTGTTAAGAGTTTTGTCTTTTAAAAGTGTGTTTGTATGTGTATATATACACTATGTCTAAAATATTGAATTTGGTTGAATCAATAGAATATTGACTGTTAGCCTATCTGGCCAAGATTCTAAAATTTAAAAAGTGCTTTTTTCAAAAGTGATTTTTTTTAAAAAAACGCTTTTATTTTAACTAATTAATTTGAAAAGTACTTTTAAGCTTTAATTAGTACTTGGCCAAACTTTTAAAAAAAATGTTTTAAGTGTATTTTTGTCAAAATTAAAATACTTTTGGGAAGAAACTACTTTTTTCTGCTTCTCAAAACTAATTATGCTTTCACTCAAAAGTACTTTTTTTTTTCTAATAACTTGGTCAAACACCTTAATGTTAGAAAAAAAATACTTTTAGCCAAAAAGACATTTGACCAAACAGGCTATATATCATGCACGTCAAAAATATTGAATTCAATTGAACCAACATAACATATACGGTAGTAATATGTAGTAGAAGTGAGAGGGGAACTGCCAAAATTTGAAACTTATGAGTTTAATATTCTAATTCTTTTAAGTTATTGTATTCTAAATTAATAGTTTGTGCATAATTCAATAACTTTTTAAAATAAATATGAGATTTGAACAAAAGTTACTGGTTAAATCGAACTCATATCCGGTGGTTCCGCCCGTAGCAGAAGTATAGTAGAAGGAAGTGGTAGTTTTATGAGCTAGAAAACTTTCACAGTGACTTAAGAGGAAGGTTTCCTGGGATGCTTTTTCCCATGCAATTGTCTTCTTCACATCCAACATCGCTGTCTATGTTTTTGTACTACTCCTATATATCTCTCCCCCACACTCTCTCTCTCCTTCTAAATTTCCTTTCGTTGTGGTCCTTACCCTCCTTTATAACTTGATCATCATTACCACTTTTCTTCCTGCAGGTCTATTTTCTAACTACCAGTACGCCATCCTCTTTACTGCTATACTACTACTACTACCACTTCCCATTGTGTTAGCTGCCATTCAAACAAGCTTTGAGCCATTAATTTGTACCCCAAAAAGAAAAGGAGAAAATTACTAGTAGTTGAAGAATGTCAGGGAGAAGGTCGAGGCAATCATCAGAGGGGACGTCGAGGATTTCAGATGATCAGATCATCGAACTGATGTCCAAGTTGCAGCAACTTCTTCCTGAAATTCGCACTCGTCGCACCAGCAAGGTTATCATTGATCTTACATTTTCTTTCATGTTTATGTCTTCTTTTCATGTCAATTGTCAAAAAATATGCAGTTCATTTGAATATTTGCGTCATAAAAATCTTGTATACAAAGTGTATAGAGACGCTGGAGTCTTTATAACAGGATGGAGTGCCGCTAAAGTTGTCTCGGTATGACCTATAAGTTACGGGTTTAAGTTGTGGAAGTAGTACTAATGCTTACATTAAGGTAGACCGTCTATATCGCACTCTTGGGGCACGGACCTTCCGCGAATCCTGTGCGTGGGATGCTTTGTACACTGGACTGATCTTTTAGGAGTATATTTTACTATATGCATATTATTTTTTTGTAAAAAATTGTTATTTATACATATTTGTGAAGTTGTCCAGAGTCAGAACATTTAGCCGTATGGATCTCTAATTTGTTTGCAGTGTATACTTGAAGGAACATTTTCAGCTAGTATATATAATGTTCATCAAGTACAAATATTAAGATAAATTTAGTCATACTATATAAAATTATAAATAATTTTTACATATAAGTTAATTTAACCTTTAGTAATAATCAACTGCCTTATTTTAAACCGAATCTTATGTCTATTGGGAACTCCGATCCGAAGAGTTCCAGTTTTACATATCCCAATTTGGTTTCTCTAAAAAGTAAAAATAAAAACTTGGTATGCATGGTGAAACAGTGAATCGCCGTACGCTATTATCACACTGATTAAAATAGCATGGTTTCTATCGCTTTTTAAGTACTACATCTGAAAAGAGTAAAAGTTTGTCGTTGAAAAAGAGAAATTATTATATGTTCATAATGTTTACGTCCCAACTCCCACAATGTACAGGAGCCAATCTAGCATGTAAGTCAAAATTTGACCTTTTTCAAGATCTGCAACACCTCGTTCCACAAATTAAGGCATGTTTGATTTTGTGCACTAACATTAATGTTGCCTATTGTCTCACATCATGAGAAATATTTTCATAAAATCTCGCGCCAGTGATTCTCAATGGTTATCAACCATGCGTAGTACTAGTCAAAGAATTTGATTAATTTCTCATATACTGGTTGATAAGTGGTTGATATATTGCAGGCATCAGCATCTAAGGTGCTTCAAGAAACATGCAACTACATAAGAAGCTTGCATAAAGAGGTGGATGATCTCAGTGATCGACTTTCTCAGTCGTTGTCCACCATTGATGCTGACAGTCCTGAAGCTGCAATCATTCGTAGTTTATTAATGTAATTTTCAATTTGTTCATCATATATATTGAATAGACGTATTCTACTACCTAGTTCTTCGTTTCTTCTTCCGCTCTAGGCTTTTCTGGTCACTACTATTCTCATTAGTTAGCATTTAGAACTTAAATGTGTACGTAGTATATATTGGACCTAATATATATTATAATTTAATTTCCCCTTGCTTATTATATGGACACGTGCTTGTAATGATGTTTCCCTAGCTTACATAATAAGATCATGTACTTGTGCTCAATTTGGAGTTAAGTTTATATTTTTTATTAAGTAGATCTGCTTCAAATAAGTTGGGGTTAGCTATAAAAATTCTCAGTTCTGTATTTTTTATTCAATCCAGGCTACACAGTAAAGAAACTTAATATTTATAGGAAGAACAAAATATATATACACCAAAAAGGAGAATTGATCAGCGTGAAAAGTTATCAATTAATCACCCTGAAAAACGTTCTATTGAGAATTGATCACTGGAAAGAAACAGAAAAATGAACACATTCACATAACTTCGTGGTACGAAGATTAAATTAAAGAAAGAAGAATGAAGGGATATATGGAGATGAATAACATAAGTGTATGACTGTCATTTTTATATAGAATACATTATTGTTGTACACTTCCAGTTGGTGGTCTTAAACTCTTAATTATTTCTTCGCTGATCGATGTGATTCCCGTTTCATTAATGTTACTTTCCTAGTTTTAATACCAGCTATTTTTTTATTTAGGACTATCTCTGTTTAAATCTAAAAGAAATTCTCATCAGAGAGACAAGATACTTCAATTTTGGGTGTTGTTAAAAACTGGCTAGCTACCAGTATTTTACAATACCATTCTATCAAGCCTAAGATCGGAACTTTCAGACCATTCGAAACATGCTTTCTAATTTACTATTCTCACGATAAGAAGTATGTTTCATCCATGTCTTATGACAGGGATATATATTAATTAATAACCCTTATATATTTAGAATGTAATACGGTACGTAATGAACATTCTAATATAGACATACAGTGATTAGCTCCTTTTGTTTAATTATTTATCTCTTCATGATGTGGGAAAACGAAGACTTCCCAAGGAGGTCACATCCGAGTTCACAGTAAACTCTTGCACTATTGAAAAAAGTTATATACATCGTATTTTTGCATCATTAGGTTATTTTTAAAGATTATAAATTTCATATTTTAAGAAGTCTTTACTGATAGATATCCTTTGATGACCTGATAGTCTATATAACTTAAACGGTTCGTTCTAAATGGGGATGTTAATAAAGGGGGAATAATGTTAGGCTGGAGATAGCAAAGCCATAGTTGTGTGGTGCATTTTCAACGAGAAGAGAAAGGGACATCGGCTTTGTGTTTCATCAAAAGGGTGTCTTTGTGTCTTGATAATGTCTCATTCAAATAAAAACATTATGCAGGGATTGTGAAAAGGATGAGTCCTCATTGACGAATTAAGATTCATCTATGGAGAGGAGACGACAGCAAATCCAGAAACCTGTGTCATATCACTGTCGTGTGTTGAAAACTGATGCCTCAATACTGTAGAGGCAATTAATATAGATGGTAATTGGCACATCCGGTCCATCTTGAATTGCTAGATTTTCCTATTCAAATAGTTGGTGTAACGACCCGGCTGGTCGTTTTGAGCTCTAGCGCATCGTTCAGCAGTTTGAGGCCATGAGTAGCTTCACTTCAAGTATTATGACTTGTACGTGTGGGCGGAATTGAATTTCGGGAAATTCGGAGTTGATTTGGAAAGAAAATTCTAACTTCGGAAGCTTAAAGTCGGAGGAATTGACTAATGTTGGACTTTTGAGTAAACGACCTCGGAATCGAGATTTGAAGGTTCCAACAGGTTCGTATGATGATTTTGAACTTGGGCGTATGTCCGGACCGGGTTTTGGATGATCCGGGAGCATTTCGGCGCCTATTGTGGAAAGTTGACATTTTGGAAGGATTTCATAAATTTGGGTTGAAGTGCATTTCAATGTTATCGATGTCCGTTTGGGATTCCGAGTCTAGGAATAGCTTTATATGGTGATTCCGATATTAGGAGCACGTCCGGATATGGATTTGGAGGTTTGTAGGTCGTTTCGGGGTCATTTGGCGAAAGTTGGAAATTTGAAAGTTTATGAAAAGTTTGACCGAGAGTGGACTTTTTGATATTAGAGCCGGATTCTGATTCGAGAAGTTGGAGTAGGTCAAATGTGACTTGTGCGCAAAATTTGAGGTCAATCGGACATGATTTGATAGGTTTCGGCGTCGAATGTAGAGGTTTGAAGTTCTAAAGTTCATTAAGCTCGAATTGGGGTGTGATTCATAATTTCGATATTGTTTGACGTGATTTGAGGCCTCGAGCAAGTTCGTGTCATGTTTTGGGACAGGTTGATGTAATTGGACGTGGTCCCGGGGGCCTCAGATGTGTTTCGGGGTGGTTTCAAATCAATTTTGGATGAAAAACTGTTGCTAGTTCTGCTTATTTTTGGGTTTGGGTTGTAGGTCTCGCAAATGCGTGGTTTTGATCGCATTTGCAAAGAAGGAGTCGCATTTGCGAGGGTGGAAAAGTCCTGAGAAGTTCGCATTTGCAGAACTTCCCTCTTCGCATTGCGAAGATTTTGGTCGCAAATGCGACCTTGGCAGGGGTAGCTTTGCTTCGCATTTGCGATGCTTTTGTCGCAATTGAGACCATTGCATTTGCGAATAAGATGTCACAAATGCGACTGGAGCAAGGGCTTTTATTTCGGGACTTAGCTCATTTCTCTCTTGGTTTGGGCGATTTTGGAGAGGCTTCAAGGAGAGATTTTCATCATCTATGTCAAGGTAAGTGATTCTCTCCTATTGCAAGTTAAATACTTGGATTATACATAGATTTTAACATGGAAATTCATGGAAAATTTGAGGAAATTTGGGGTTTTGGTAGAAAATCTAGAAAATTGGTATTTTTGGATTCTGACAACGAATTTGGGCATGAAATTGAGAATAACTTATATATTTGAGTTCGTAATATTATGGGTAATGATTATATTCGAAATTTTTTGGAATCCGGGCACGTGGGCCCAGAGGTGATTTTTATCAACTTTTCGAGCGGAGTTGTAAATTATTGTAAATTGGATTATAATGAGTATTAGAGTATATATTTATGGATTTGCACATTTATTGACTAGTTTTGGAGTGTTGGGTATCGGTTTAAGTTGTTGGAAAGGCTTGGGAGCCGGTTATGAAATTTCGAAGCGAGGTAAGTCTCTTTTCTAACCTTGTAAGAGGGAATTAACCCCATAGGTGAATTGAATTCATGTGTGCCCTTATTTGTGGGGGCTACGTACGCACGAGGTACTGAGAGTCCGTACGTAGCTACTAATTATACTTATGTTCGGATAGTTTAGGTTTACACCATGCCTTGTTTATACCGTTATTTGATTATGTTTATTATTTGCCTTGAAAGGAGTTGAGATTGAGTATGCTTACTAATTGCCTTGAAAAGAGTTGAAATTGAGGATTTCGAGATTTGAAAGTTTTCATTTGAATTTCGTATTTTTGAAAAGAATTGAGGAATATTATAATAATTTGAAAAATCTATATTCAATCGCGTGGCAAATATATTCCGCGAGCAGGGTAAATTTTCACTACTCTCATGGGAGCGGGTCGTTCGCCTCGGCAGGTTAATGATGCATCTATGGTTCGTGCCGTTCGATCCTCGGCAGCGTACAATTTATATTCATATGTTGGATCGGGTCGTACTACCTCAGTAATGATTTGCGCATGATAAATATTCGGAACTAATAATAATTGATATTGCTTCATTGGCTTGAGATATAAATTGTTGAATGACGAAAATAAATTTGGAAATTTCCTAATAATAAAAGAATTATTTACCTACTTCTTGTTATTGAGTTTCAACTGTTTTATATAATTCATTCTTAATTATAATATCATAAATTTATTGATAGCCCATATTAAGTGTCAGAGTCGACCGCTCATTACTACTTCTTCGAGGTTAGACTGGATACTTACTAGGTACACATTGATTTACGTACTCATACTACACTTGCTGCACATTTTTGTGTAAGTACATATATGTCTAGTGGCCTTGTGGACGTAGAGGCGTGGTTAATGCAGGAACTTAGGTGAGCTGCATTCCATATTACGATCCACAGCCAGCAGAGTTTCCTTCAGAGTTATTTATATTTTTCCTGTCTAACTTGTATTCTGGACAGATGTTGTATTTATTCTACTCCCTAGTTGAAGCTCATGCACTTGTGATACCAGGTTTTGAGGATGATTATGGGTTATTCAGTATTGTAGTTGTGCAGATATTATTATTTACTCTGTAAAATTTTATCTCACTATTTAATTGAAGGATATTACGATTTCAAAAAAAAAAATACTAAAATGAGTAATTAAGATAAACATTTATTGTTGGCTTGCCTGGCAGAGGTGCTAGGCGCCATCGCGATCTTTAATGGATTTTGGATCGTGACAATATAATATCAGAGCCAGGTTCACTTAGGTCTCACGAGTCATGAGAAAGTCTAGTAGAGTCTTACGGATTAGTACGGAGACATCTGTACTTATCTTCGAGATGCTACAGTGCTGTTAGGAGCACTTCCCTTCTTGATTCCTCATCGTGCGATTTGATTCCTTTTGAGGCTTATGCCTTTACTTCTTTCCTATTTAATATCATGTGACGTGAAACGATTGTTATCAATTGAGAATCGAGGAATTGTAAAGGTACTGCAAGTGTGGTGCAGGATGTTTCTCCCCGCGTATTGATTAGGCTACTATCGTCGCCTTGCGGAAGGCTATTCTGTCGTTTCAGCTCAGTATTAGTGTTGTCTATGGTTTTGAATTTGGGCACTAATTGTTATGATGATTCGTACGTTGCTATCGCACGGTGTTGGTGTAGTGGTAGGGTGCTTATTTATGGATTATGACAGGAATGACTTGATAAAAAGATTTCTCAATTTACGACTTAGAGGTTCAGCATTTAGTTCTGGCGGAGGAAAGAAAATCAGACTATGAATGTTCAGGTTTGGGTTGATAGAGTAACGAGACTTAGTATTTTCAAGCGTGGTGAAATTTTCATCTGTGATGTTATGTCATCATCCTTGATTGAATGTGTTAAGTTTGTTGGTGTTATGATCTTCTTCAACTCGCCTTTGGGGCAGGGTATTGTGAAACTATGCAGGGGAAGCGATTGTCAGAGATCACAGCGTGCAGTGGTTCAGGAACGAATCAGTGTTCCTAG